TATATTTATTTTTTAACCCTCTTGCTCCAGCTCCAGCTGCTGCTCCTGCCCCTCTTCTTCTGTGTGTGCTTAGCCTAAGCCCAGACGTTCCAGCCAAGGCTTACAGTCGCAGGAGCTAGGGACTGGCAGGAGGGGGGCTATCATGCAGAACATCGACTGTAAAGGTTGTCTGGGCACAAACTGCCATTAAATTGCCACCTCCTTTTGGGAATTTCACATGTTTTTTTTGTCAAACAAAAATAAAGCATTTTTTCGAGTGATTTTCCTGTATTTGCGATCCGCTTCGAGGGATTTTTTGAAGGTGATTTAAGGGTTTCCATATCAGGTAGTATTTATATGGGAGATTTGCTCGGGGACAAGGATGTTTGAATGCGTCTAATAAATCTTGAAATTTCTATATGTTTACTGAACAGCATCAGTAATAATTAAATATTTTGTATTTTTCTTTTTTAATGCTTAAAATGCCTTTTAAGTTTTTTGTATTAATTTTTCCCAAAAAAAAATAAAGACCTATCACAATTTAAAATCTAATCTAAAATGTATCCCTTTGCCTTTCAGCATAAATTCGCTAATTTAATTTCGTTGCGTTCTATTTAAACTTTGCCCAACCGTTTCAAAATTAAGGCCCTTTTTTTTGTTGGTTGAGCCTTTTTTATGTGCGTTCTACTTTTTATCAAGAATGAATGCCTTGCGGGCCATATTAATTACAGTTGCCTAACGCACAGCCTGTTCTTACCTTTTTCCTCCAATTGTAATTTTTTAATTCATTAATTATGGAATTTATTTGAGTTTTACGCACACTTGCCACTCGGTGAAGAAAAACCACCCTTTCTCTTGTTTGTTCACACTTTTATTTCGTTTTTACTGCTCACAAATAATTTGCAATTTTTCATTTGTTTGCTTCCACACTTTGCCGGCAATTTTCCGTCCAAATGTTTGACTCTTCTCACTTTTTGTGTTGTTAATTTGCTGCGATTGTTATGGTTGTTATTGTTATTGTTGGTTTTGTCAATGACAGCTTGCGGCTGTGGCGGGGTTGATATCGTTACGCGTCCGGAACGGTAACTGTTCGAGGTTTTATCACTGAGCCACGCTTATAAGGCGCACACGAACGGAGCTTTTCGCCGAAGAGCTTTTCATGCCAGAGAGAGCAACAGCAGAGAGAGAACAAGGCAAGCAAAGACTTTCGACCAGTTTGGCTCGTGTGTTTTCGACCAATTTAAGGCGATTCGCCTTGCCTGCCGTTTGGCGCCAATTGTTCTAAGTGCAACATTCTACTCACTCGTATGGAAGTCAAAGGCATATTTCATCTTTTGTGCATCGAAGAATGCAAAAGGAATGTTAATGAAAATCAAAAAAGCATCAGTCGATCGATTGCTTACGCGAAAGCATGATATTGCTGCCTTTGCTGCTAAGGAGATTTCTTAGGCAAATTGTTATACCCCCATGTTAGGGTTGACAGCGCAAGTGGAAACAAAAACTAAGAAGTGTGCTACACACACTCTGTGAGTGCAGTGCAGTGAGTGCTGCAGCAGTGGCAGGCGAGCAAATAAACTTCAATTTGTCTTAAAATGAGTTTCGGTTTTTGCCTGCAAGAAACCAGCGACAAGACACATTTTAAATCCCAACAAAAATATGCTAATATTACCCTTTACAGAAAATTGATGTATTACAAGTTTCCACTTCTTTGTGCGTTTTAAGCGGAAACGGAAATGCCAGCGGTCGCAGAACGTAGCACGATGAAGCAGTCAGTTCAACATGTTTTTTGCCTCTGGCCTTTTTTCGCTTCCTTCTTACATGTTGGTTTGCCCTGTGTGTATGGGCTTGTGTGTGTGTATCTGTGTGTTCTATGCAAATTCAAATTCATGACAAAAAACAAAAAGATGAAATGGCACGAAGAGCACACGGAAAATATAAATATCGATTAGTTAATAGCAAACTTGCTGACAGGGACAGGCTTACATGTAACTTAAGGCGGCATTGAACTTGTCTAGTCCTTCTCCTCGTGCTCCTCCTGCTCTTCCTGCTCTGCCCCAACTTTAGAATAACCTTTGCATGATTTAATTATTTGCAGCAGATTCCCCATACCCAGACCAGAACCATTTTGTGAGCCGACGACCCAAAACTTCACACCTAAATGCACAAAAGGGGAGGGTTGCGGAGGGTGAGGATACCTTCCCCCTGGTGCAAAAGTTTTTGCCACTTTTGCATTCAGTGTACAGTGTTCCCTCTCTATATGTTGGTGAAAAGTTGTTGTTGAAGGACCCCCGTAACACCCCCGCTGATCCGTTGAACCGCTGCCATTGCGGTTTTTCGCATTCGGGGTCTCTATTTCTCTTTTTGTCCGAGAAATGAATGTCTCAATTCATTTTACGCCACACTGCGCCTCAAGTGGAGCGCAACGCCATGCAAAAAAGGGCTGCCAATGCGGGCCCGGAATGGGTTTATGGGTTTGGGTCATGGATTCACATAAAAAATAAAACAAAAAAAAAAATAAAAAAAGAAAATAAGAAGAAAATGTTGCGAAAAGTGCAAGCAGCGCAGAAAAGGACTTTGGCATCATTACAATTTGTTGATTTGCTTCGTTAAACAGCAAACAACAGGAGCGCAAAAGCGCAAAATAAAAGGCGAATCAAGAGTGCAAAGAGTGGTTGGATGAAACAGAGAGCGAGTGGGAGAGAGAGATGAAATGAAATGAAAACGCAGACAGAAATTGAAACAACAGCGACAGCGTTGAATGAATCAAGACAAGGACATAAAGGTCCTTGGTTTCGACTTAGAAATGAACGCTAAGACAGCCAGCCCTAGCCAAACGCTTCTCACACACAGAGTCTCCCCTCTTCAACGCTTTTCTTCCATTCAAATGGCGACTGCATTGTTGCTTATTTGCCAAGAGAAAGCGCGAAAAAATGAGCAAAATACGAAATGAAAAACATGAAAAAAACCAAGGAAAATAACAACAGCAAATAAGCAAGTGAAAAGCGAATGAAAACTGACATGGGACTGACTGGCAAGGCGTTGAAGGCGGTGGCATCCTCATCCTCCTCCTCTCAGCTTCAAAGGCATCGCCCCCGGCGTCAAATTTTTTATCTTTCAGCTGCTGCTGCTCCTGCCACAAAAGAAATGAGAGTCACTGTGTGGCCGCTGGCTACAGTTTCAAAGGAGGTGGGTGGGCGTTTTGGTGGCATGAGGAGGCGGGGCAGAGGCAGCGAAGCAAGCAACACCAAGGTGGCAAACAATCATCACTGCACAAAAGCGGCATGAGAAGCAAATAAAGTATTCAAATATTTCTTTGCTGCTGAAAAAACAAAAGATTTAGATTTTTTCCATTTAAAAAACTTGAATTTTTGCATACAGAAAATTATTATTGTTATTTGTTTAGCAATTTGGAGAATTGTTGCCAATTTTCTTTATCGGAAAATAAATAATACATAATTGCAAACACCCCCAAAAGATGACCGCTCACTTAAACAGCACAGCCTTTCCCCTGACTACACTGGGAGAAAAATGGCAGAGTAAATAGAAATATACTCATATTTAAATTAAAAATTTGTTTGATTTTTAAATACAAACATTGTGAAATTAAACAGTTTAATTTTCTTTTAAAAGTCCTTATTAAATTCAAATTAATAATTCAATTAATTCAAATACAAAATATTTTATACAAAACAAGCAATATATCTAATCTATTTATTATTATAATTATATTAAATTTAAATGTATGTAAGTATAACTATTTGATTCTTAGTCCTGTTTTCTCTGGGTCTACCACTCCTTTCTGGCTCGTAACTGACCCTACCAATTCTGACCCGACCCTCTGTTTACACAATTAGATTTATTTGAAAAATTATAAGATGAATTGCAGGGCCCCGTCCCCTTTCCAAAACCATAATTTTATTTTATGGCCCGGGCCCATCGTTCATTGCCATTGCCACAGTTTATGCAATAAAAATGCTTCCCCATTTGCGTCATAATTTATTGCATACTTTTTGGGTTGGATAATTAGCATTTAATTTTGGCTTGTTTATGAAAAAAAAACAAATTAAACAGTGAGCAGAGCAGATAGAAAAGTTTCCGAAAAAAAGGTTCATTGGAGCCGCTCATTAAATTAGTGAGCGGATGTGCCACCGATTTACATTTTTTTAAGATATTCCCCACCGAAAGTCCGTGTCGGGAGTCCGGCATAATAACATAATTTTTTTAAATGAGCTCTGCTCCGATTTGAATAACAAATTGTATGTAATGAAGAATTCGATGTTGTTATTTGCTTAATCACACACAAACTTATTCCCTTGGGGCAATGGAAATTAAGAGTTGATTAGAAATTAGAAATTATTCAAATTGCGACAGCACCATAGTGCACGCATGGAAATGTGAACTGTCCGCTTGCTGGACATGTTAATTGGTTTCTGTTGTGGACCCTTTGACAGGACGACCGCTTAGCTGATGGCTTTTCAATACAGAAATTAGCTCTTGAACTAAGTGTCCAATGTCCCATGGGTAGAAAAATTGAATTGGTCGGACCGGTAAGGCAAAGTGTTAATTTTCCCAAGTGGCACAGTGGCTAATAGAACAGCGAAAAGTGCATAGAATCTAACTATTTTATCTACAAAAAACTTATAGATATTGCAAGAATTTTACATGGAATATTCCTTCCATGGTGCTGGCAGGACAAGCCCACTTTTTCATCTGTCACCTCGCATGGCCAAAGTAAACGCATTTGATCGGCAAATAAACGACTTCCGCCTTCAATGAAAAACTTTTACCGCCGCAAGACGTTGCTTGAAATCGACAAATGACGATTAGCACATCGCAAAGCAGCAGCAGCAGCAAACGTCAGCAGGTGTTGTTGCTATTGCTACTGCTATTTTTTTGTTTTGGCTAACACACACAAACACACTCTAAGAGACAGTTCGTGGTCTGGGGAACGGGCGCATTGATGTTTGTGATCGGCATGGCCAGCGCAATATTTTGAATTTCAGTTTCAGTTGGTGAACAACGCGCGAGCGAACAAGACACGCGCGCGGCATCCAAGTGCACAACAAAGTACAGACAGAGCATTAAAATAGAGAAACAAATAGAAAGAGATACAGTGGAAGACACAGTGGAAGACACCGAGAAAGAAACACCGATTGGGAGAGAGAGAGAGAGTGCGAGTGTGATCAAACAAAAAGAGAAACAGCCAACAACAGCTGCTTGAATAAAAGTACGAAAATTATACGAAATTTCAACAAAGAGTACAAAGTATTTGGGTAATGCTTTTCGATTTTTATTGACTCCCTTCCACCATTTATTTTTGCACTTTGCAATCGCTTGTGATCGAATCCTATATATTTTTAGTTTTTATGCATTAATCAATCAATCTTAATGAAGTGTTTTTTCCCAACATTGACATGTTACACAAATAAATAAATAATTATAGTTTCTATGCCGTTGATGCCAATAATTTGTGCAGGCAATCAAAATGAATTAAAAGACAGCATATCATCTCAATTGAAATTCTGATCAACTGTGCAATAAAGTGCCAAGGTCGGAAAGACAGGAAGAAATTGCTTCAAAAACGAGTTGATGGTCAAGTTAACAGTGGGGGGTAAAACACTTTTTGGTTGGCCATAGACTTTCGGGAAAAACAAGCATACAAAATGCAACAAATTTCAAGTCTTTGATTCAAAAAACTAAAGGAGGAATAAATTCTGTAACTTACTAGGGAGAAAAACATCGATTTCTTAGTAACATAATAATGAAAAATGTAGGCATGGAATTCTTATCTTAAAATAAATGATAATGACATGGAACATCTTTAAGGTACAGAAAATATATTGCGCAGAGCACTCTTCCATCGCTAATTGCTTACAAATTGGAGTTGGTATCGACAAATTCTGTTTATCCACGGCCATCAGCCATGTTCAATAACAACTCAACAAATACTGGGGTAAACAGCCCTAAATAACCTTTGAACCTAATGTCTGTGTGTGTGCCACAATTTCGTCGGCAGAAATTTTGCCAGATTGTTTTTGCTTCTGTGAAAAATATTTGAAACATACTATCGAACAAGCGACATAATTACATTTTTATCTGGATAAAATTCCCAATGGTTGTACCAATATTTGAAGTGCCAGACAGGGAAATGCCTTGATGTTTGCCATTTGCGCATCTCTTCTTTGCTTTTGCCACAAATTAGAATTTGCGGTCTCTGTTCTGATTTTAGATTATTTCCTCCCTTTATAATGCATTTGTAACCCGCATTGTTGATTTCTTTTTTTTGTTTGCTCAATTCGATTGCATTGCGTAAGGTCGTGTCAGTGGGTCGCTTTTTTGGTTTCGTCTCGCCGAGATATTTGAATTTATGTTAACCGCAAAAAAGTTCGGAAATAACTTGGCAGACGACATCGCATTTTGGGTGGTAGAGTCATGGCCGGCCAAGCGCTGGCTGGCTGGCTGCTGGGCATGTGCTGCCGGCTGTCTGTGACAACAGTCACCGAAGAAGCTGTAACCAAATGAGAAAGAGTGGATAAAATGAGATGAAATTCCCCATTTAATATGGTTTCCCCATCAGCAACAAAACAGCACAAAAAATGAGCCATGGCCAACAGAAAAATGCAAAAATGTTCGCTAATGTTTACGTTTCATTTCGCCAAATTTTTCGTGGGAGTTTTAAAGATGTGTAAAGAAATGGTGTGCGGAAATATGGTATACCATATTTTGGTGTAGGTTTTCATATGTTTAAGGCGCAGTTGGTGTAACGTAATATTTTTATTTCTATACCTCATTTTGCTCTTCACTTTTTGTCACGTTCTAGCCCTCATTTAATATTTTTCTTAAAATAATTAGCCATTTGTTTGTTGTTGTTTATTGCGTGCGCTGTCCATTTGGCAAGCCGTTAAAAAATCAGAACTACAAAAATATAAGGTGAGGAGATAATATGCTTCCAGGGCATAATACATATATAATTTTTATGACGCTACTCTAATATTTCGCGCTTCATTTTACGCACCTTTAAAATGTGCTAACCAAAAAAATGAATCCGCGAATTCTGTGCTAATTGTTGGAAAATTTGTTTATGGCGGATCTTTTGAAAAGTAATTGTGAAATAAAATAATTCTCTTTCTTATTTTTACTGATGAAATCACTGAGACCGATGGTGAATTTTGATCTCTAGCTGCTGGTTGGTGGCTGCTGGCTGATAAGCCGTGCTTCAAGAGCATTTCGAGATCTCCACAGTTCGTTGAAAGACTGAGTCTGGATTGAGGCCAAGCCTAAAGGGGACTTTGACACGTTTTCGTTGCTGATCTGCCACTGAAGGTCGTTGCTGCTGCTGCTGCTGCTTGCTGTTGGTTTGCTGCTGGTTTCGTTTGGGAGATTGGAGTGGTGGCTGACTCATGTTTATAGTACTCGTTTACAGGTACTTTCCACATACGAGTATTGTCTTGTACATAGTACTTGGGGCATCAAAATGATGTACGAAACCTGTTTCAAAATGTAAAGTTAACAAAGAGTCTTACATAACGGATGGGAGTAATGCAATGTGAGGCAAGCTCTGATTTCAGTATGGCCGGTCGGTTGTCTCGTCTCGAACTATGCTTTTCAGAAACTTGTTTAGTTTTTTGGGCGTCCCGCACTCGCTCACTCTTTCTTCTCTCTCTCTCTCTCCATGCTTTTACTCTTTCCCCACAAAGTGGTGGGACGCTCTTTGGTTGCCTTGGGCTCCGCGGGCACGTGCTTTTCACCTGTGGCTTGTTATGGCTGTTTGCACCATTTTGGGGTTTCGTTTTGGTTTTGAATTTTTTTACATCATTTGATACGCTCTTACGCGTGGTTTAAGTAGTGTATTATTATGCGGTTCACACTGAAATTTATGCAAATCAATTCGAGATATCTGTAGATAAGTGGAGCTACGAGTTATTGTAACATAACATGGCTGTTGATTATTGTGGAAAACTCCGCAATTGCTAAGCTGGCTTGTTTTTGGCAATTATTGTTATTCCCTTTTCTATTTTTTCCTCTCTTCTTTTGCAACCGTTATTGTCACTTTTTTTTTCTTGTTCTAATTATATCAGGCTGTCTTGTTGTTGTTGAAAAAAATGCTTCTTATATTTTCTTATCAAACCAAATAACATCTCCAAAGAGTGTTCAAACAGTCGATCTTCTCGCAATAATGAATGAGATTATAAATCTATTATCTTATTATTGTTTATTTTTTAATTTAGCAAATTATTCGTGTTAACTAAAGAATTAAATTTCAGAAGTATTAAATATTCCAATTGAAATCAAGAAATGCTGTGGAGTTCCCTTTGATATATGGGTAAAGTCTGCAGATGTGTCATTAACATTTTACTTGCCTAAAGAAATTTATCCGGGATCGTGATTGAGGGTATTAACACTTCGTCTAGACTGTTTGTTTAGCATCCGTTAAGACTTAATGACACTTTAAAGTGTACATATCGAATGGCAGCCGCGTAGTCGAGTGCATTGGCTTTTTCTACTCGAATTGCGTAACTAACCGAGAAATATTTATTGCACACTTCTCACACTTTCCCCCAGACTCTGTGGCAATTAATATTTACGACTATCCTACCCATCTGTCTCTATTTGCAGCTTACCAGCACCCTCACTTCAAAGGTCTGTAACAGATTGTGGCAACTCTAAAGATACATTTACGAGAGTGCTAATAAAAGTAAAGTCTGTTAACTGTTTGGCAAATGCGCGAACAATGGCAAAGATGTGAAGTGTAAGCGGAGGCAGAGGCAGAGTAAGAGTGGAGCAGAAACCCAGGAAGTATTGCACCCAGCTTGCCACCAGCACAGCGAGAGAGAGAGTGAATTTATCATCTTAAATCCCACTAAAAAACAAATACACAATGAATGCCAGCGATGAGTGGGGGGAGATGGTGGAGCCGAACGAGGAGCAGGCATCGCAGGAGCTGAATAGTTCAGCCCTGAGTATTCGCACACATCCCACAGTCGAAGAGTATTATGGCAGTAAGTATTCAAAAGGAAACTACCATTAAAGAGGTTAAACACTAATATGATTATCCTGCAGACATGACTGCCTTCCTTAGCCTGGCTATCTTCATAGCCAGCCTGCTGACCATCCTCAACATTTGCATCTACTCGACCACCGTGTCGCGTCTGAGGCGCCACCTGAACAAGCCACTGCGTACACCCTCCATACTGATGGTCAGCCTCTATCCGATTATCTCGCTGGCCGCACTCGTGACCATACTGGTGCCGTACTCCTGGTTTATTTGCCACACCGTGATGCATGTGATGTTCATGGTGGGCGGTCCCATATTCCGTACACTGCTCTTCCGCTACGTCGACTCGGAGCAGAACTATGTGAAGGAGTCGGGCGGAGAGGCGGTGCAGCTGAGCACTCCGCCCTGCTGCTGCTGGTGCCTCTGCCTGCCGTTGGTGGTGCCCACCAAGGCCAAGCTGTGCATCTCCCGTTACATGGTCTGGCAGATGCCCTTCTGGCAGGGCTCCATAATGCTGGTGATGAACATCCTGTACTATCGGGACATTCAGCTCTACCGCCAAGTGATGTACTTCTTCATACCCTTCATCGTCAGTTCGATTGTGCTCGGCGCTTGGTCCCTCCAGATCACAGTGCGAATGATATCAAAGCTGCGCGGCGATTATCAGTTGCGGAAGAAGATGTTCTGCCTCCAGCTGGTTGTGATGCTCTGCAAGCTGCAGTATCTGGTGCTTTACGATCAGCTCGACGGCATCAAAATGGGCGGAGAGTATCCCATCAATCACACTGTCTACAAGCAAAGTGGGTGTGCCCTCCGTACTTTTAGTACTCGTATTATTTGGGTAACATATTTTAAATTTGTGGTTTATATTTGCAGCCATCATCAATATATTGATACTGGTGGAAATGGTCTTGGTTTCCATGATGGCGCAGAGCGCCTATCGCACACCCATACAAGTGCAAGTCGATGAGGTCAACAAGGACAAGGAAATCACTCGCATTTGAGTGACAGAGAGAGGGAGGGTCAGACAACAGTTAGTAGCAACAAATTGTGATAATTTCAATAAAGAATATGTAGTTAAATGTAGTCGGAAAATGTCTATTCTGTAGCCATCCATCTTAGCCAAGCGTCAATCCAAAAAAAAAATAAAGTACATCTCCAGCCACAAATCCTGTGTTTGTTCTAGGATCTGGCTAACAACTCACACCACTCACTTGTACTTATAATCGCAACCCATCCTCTTCCCTCCTTTTCTTCAGAGTCATGCGTGTCGCATTTAGCACATAATTCTCTCTGCGGCAGAGTTTGTGTGTCCAGAGATCCGTTTTACATTTTTCAACCGACAACAAAATGCTGCAGGGGCTTTGGACGACCACGACCACATGCAAGTGCCATAAAAAATACAATAAATATAATATGATGAAATATCTGTATACATATACATCTTCCTTTTGCTGTTTAGATAGCCTTTTCTGCGGGATAACTCAATTGCTGTCGCAGGACGCACGGCCATAGGCCAGACACCACACCACACCCCGCCACGCCACATTTTGGCCTGGAAAATCCTTCGAAGAGTAGGTGGGGTGGACATTGCGTACAGCCAGAGCAGTGCGTTGAAATTTATGATTTATTTCAAAAGAAAGTACATTGTGCGCTGCCAAAATAAATCACACTAAAGATGCTGGCAGGCAGCTCTCAGAAAAGCAGAGAAGGAGCAAGAGTCAGAGCGAAGGCCGTTGGGCAAATGAAAATCAAATATAGCAGAAAGACAGGCAAAGGCATGGAGCGATTCTATACATGCTCTTCAGGGAGCTCAACATATATTTATTTATTCATAATTAAGGGTTTGTTTATGGTCAAACACCTCAAGGATTTTCATGCTCATACGGAGGGGAAATGCTTCAAGAAAAGCGGTTAAATTATAAGAAATAAGCGCATTGGCGTGCTGAAACTTAACAAACAATCTGCTATACCCCATAAACAAAAAGAGTATTAGCAGGATGTCTGGCAAGAATCAGGGCGAAAAAAGGGCAGGGGGATGGCTGTAGAGGGGACTAGAAACAGTCAAGTGCCACGGTCGGTCGTCGCTGGGCACGGTTATCTTATCGCTCTTTTATGGTGTACACAACGCCACAGAGCGCACCAAGCAGTGGCAGCTCTGAAGTATGAGGAGAGGCAGAAAGCCCGTGGCAGCCACAGCTCCAACCCTCTAGACCCACTAGCCCCCTCTCACACTACCACACCATTGCCTGCTCGAGATGTCGCTTTTTATGAAGGAGCTTGTTTACCCGCACTTGGCCAGGACTTCCATCCCAGCCAGCCCAGCCATCCAGCTGGCTCTGTGCCTTCGCCAGAGCCAAGTAAATCAGATTAAGTATCCGCTGCTCATTTTGATGAGCCACTGTCAGTGCGGAACTCAGTAAGGATTTTTGATTTTTCTCTCTTGTTTTTTTTTTGTTTTGTGTTCTGCAAAGGATACGTATACGAGTGCCGCATATGTGAAGGGACGAAGATTTAATTAAAATTCGACGCAGAAATTGCAGATTGCTTACGTTTTTTTGTTTTGTTGTCTTTTGCTTCTACCATTTATGGCATTTTTCTCAGCTTAGCCGCAGGAAAAGCAATATTAAATATTAAAGAAATAAAGTGTTACATTTTTTGTGCATTACCTAGTTGGGGGAAATCTGATAAAAAATCAATTGCTTTGAGAGCTTTTCCGTACCGGCTAGGTAGGCAAACATTTTTAGCACTGATTTTTGCTTCACATGTCATATCAGATTTAATGTAGCCTGCTCTTTGGCTAAATAAAAAATTCATAAAGCTTTTGGGGGAGCTATTGTTCGAATATTAAATTAAAGAAACCATTTTTATGTTGCCTGCCGCCCACTTGACAATGGCTGCGTCCTGCATCTGTTTGTCTTCCATTGTCTACGCTTCTTAGCCATGTCCAAACACGTTAGGCCATCAACTCCTGGCACTACAGCCAGGGACACTGAGAGAGACAGGGACAGGGCGCACTGGAGGACCGGGATTCGGGACACAGATGGGACAGAGATGGCTTGGCTGTCTGAGCTCCCCAGCTGGCCCAGCTGCCCCAGCCCGGCTGTCAGTCTGCGTCTTATGTCACTGTCCATTAGACGCGCCATTCACAGGCCTTTAAGTTGTACTTATGAATTTTTTACAATCTCCCTTTAAGATTGCAGAAATCCGGGGGCTAAAGAGCAGGCTAGAGATTCATGGCTACAAACACTTAGAGAAATTAAATAATGCGCATACGCAATGTGCTGCCGGCTGCTTAATTTTCTTAATAGAAATTATAACACAATATTTGTCATTCACAGACAATTTAACAAATTCCTACGGCTGTTCATCTGCTACCCACACTCTCTTTGCCCCCCCTCCTCTTTCCCTTTTTCTCACTTTCTTCGTTTCCCCCAGACATTTTATGATTATTGACAGCCCCCCAATTTTTCGTTGACTTGACTTTGCTTTCCGCTGGCTTTTCTGCTTTTGTTCTGCTGCTTATTTTTTATGCTGCCTTATTTATGTCAGGCCTTTTGTTTAAGTCTCAGGAAAGCACCCGACTCCTGGCCACCGCCATTTTGCTGGTGCTAAGTAAATAAGTTTTATGACATTTCTTTTTTTTTTTGTTCGTTTTTTTTGCCGTTGGTTTTTTGATGCCTCGTAAAATCGGCAAACGTCTGCGACTTTTGCTTGATTGATTTCATTGGTTGGAAGCCGTTGCCTGAATTCTGACACTCACACTGTTGGATCGTGAATACTTTTTCGCGATTTGTTGGGGCATTTTTCGAGCACCTTTGGGGTACCTATTTAATGCAATTTAGTTCGTAGAGGAATTGACTTTTTGAAAAGCGTTGAAATGGAAGCTCGGATCATTCAATAAAACGATGTCTATTAATTGATAAAATAAATATCCGATCCTCTTCCTCAAAGATTTTATTGTTTGTTTTGGCGATGTGGAAAATCAATATTGAATCGAACGAAACTCATTGGTTTATTGGATAATCAGTGTATTACTTTCGATTTATTTTGTTTAATAGTTATATTTTCGGCTTAATTCCAAGCTAAAATAATTTTTATTTTGTCAGATGGCCGCAACGGCCTCCATTTATTTTTTGGAAGGGTTTATTGTTTTTTCTTATACTGAATCTTAATATTTGCTTCTTATGAAATTGGGCAAATATACTTTGTATAATTTAATTAAAAACTTTGGCAACTCATCGTTGACTTTTTCCGGCCCCAAGTCAAAGTCAGCAGGCCGGCCAGGCCACACACTGTTCAGTTCCTGAGCCGCGTGCCGGTTGGTGCCTTGAATTAATTAATGTCCCGCAGCTGAACGAAGCGCAGCCATAAGAAAAATATTTGCGCATGTTCTGGCATAATTAGAAGGGTTTCTCTTCTGTCTCCGCTGTCTCATGATTTACTTTTTTAACTTTTTTTTTTGATTTTTTGTCACCAAAAAGAAAAATATGCCTAAGCATTTTCGGTTCTGAGGTTTTTGTTTTTCTTATCAAATTGGTGAAAAGTTTTCAGGTTTATATGATGGACTAAGAAGATGCCCAATAAATTAACAGTAGCAGAGATAAATATATGGCCTGCTGGTTGGTAGAAGTTGGTTTTTAGAACCTAAAAGTAAATGTGTATTAAGGGAGATATTTCCAGAATAAAATAGGTATTTACCATTTCTGTCTTTAGAGTGGATTCATTTCCTGATCTTTTACATTACTCATTTATAGGGTAGTGCCAGTGTTTTACCCCAGAGACTCATCAGATTTTTTGTCGCCTGCCTTTCAGCACATAGCAGAGCTACAGCCAACGCTCCACTGAGAGTATCCTGCCAATCCAAGCGGGAGGAGGGGAGGGGTCCTTGGGCCTTATGCTGAGCACTCGGTTTAACAATGGCAAACAAGTAAAATGCTGCGGAATCCGCTTAAAGAGCATTTGTATGTAATGGCAAGAATGAAAAAAAAAGCGAACAAAAGTATACCGAAACAGCAACACCATCCAGTCATCCAGCCATCCAGCCATCCAGTAGATCCCTTGGCCAGGCTGCATCCTTCCTTGGCTTCCTACTCTTCTTTTTCCTTTTTTTTTCTGTTTTTCTTACACCTCCGCATGCCTCCATTAGAGGATTTTGCATAAGTGACAAGGCCTGGCAGTGGCACTGGCAACTTTCTCCTCCTACTCCTCATGTGGCCATGTCTCCTCCGCATGTGAGTGGCCCGACTAAAGCCCCAGCTAATGCAGCACTGAGAGACGTGCATAAGGCGTTGGTAACACGACACGCTTGTCAAATGGTCCCCAGCCGGGGCCGATGGACACGATGCCTCGAATACGGACACTGCCACACAGAGGCAGACTTGCTAGCTAGGACAAAGCGCCGCTGCGGCTCTGTTCCATTAAAGTGGGGCACAAAGTCACAGCATCAGCTGGAAGTGGTTTAATTGAATCGAGATGGGGGCACTGGACGCGACTGGGGGCACTGTGATTCGATAAATGATTAAGTAGTTTGCAATTACGTTTAAAGGAAAAAAGTTTTTGGATTTAATTGGCTAAAATAAGTGGACACTTTGCAAAGAAAGTTCTAATTGAAGATGTTCCAAGCAAAACTTTTATTAAATTAAGGAAATCTAGTTAGATATGTTCAACACAATTAAATGAACATCGGTTGCTTCTAGTTTAGCGAAAGAAATAAATAATTCACGTGTACATCGGTCTATATCGGTCTTCCCACACATTGTGATGAGTATTATTTATATGGGATTTTCTTGTAAATTTTCTCATTAGAATTCGCCTTTCTTTCCTTAACCATATATTCCGGCTCAATTCACTTAATTCCAGGACTCGTGGGCATACATAAACTTTAACCGTATTCATGGACGCCCCCCAACCCCCATTCCCAGTGGGTTCCGCTTATGTGATTACTTTTACTATTAGCCAAATGAGCCGTGGCCGAGACGAGGGAGCAGGGCAAAGGAGAATAATAAACCATCAGTCAACGGTCTGGCGGCAGTCCGAGAGTCGGACACAGTCCGGCAAAGCAAACACTGGAATGAATAAACAGATTGAGGAAGGCCCAGGCCCAGTCTATGCCAATGTCAGTCGGAGGTGTTTCGCGAGACCACAGGAGGAGAGGACT